AAGACAATGTATGTTGAATGAAGTTTCTTCTTACTTACGAATATACACACAATGTGTTATCTTAACATTTCGTTTCACACCACATGTCTCCTACACATTAATACGAATTCTTACTTCAGGCATTATTAACGTTTAGTTCACTTGGTATTGTTTTACTTGGATCTTCCCATTGATGTTTAGGAATGAAACTAATCAGTTTCTTATTGGCATATGTGCATTCTGTGCGTATTGCCTCGATATTGCCTTAATTTACAACCGTTATAGGCAAATATGGAATAGTGACTAGTAGTGGAACCCAAGACGCGCGTTTCATCCTATTTGGGATTCGTCAGCTGGATGTACCTGGATCTTTGCTTAGAATTTTTAACGTTGATTGGATGAACAATTTCGGATACAGTGAACCGGAGCACCATGTACCTATTTATATTCGATGATTTTGATGTTTGATTATATTTCCTTGAAGATGCTTGAACCAAATTGCCCAGCAAAAAGCTGGATTGACTTCAAATTCATTCGCTGATATTTTACAAATACATTTTTCCTTTTTAATGACTACTTACATCAGTTCCGTTTTATATAGTCATTTATGGGTTACGATTTATAGACTGTAGGTCAAGCAGTATAAATTATTAGCATTAGGAACATTGTAATGGTTGTTAAATGTTTACCGAAGTAGGAGGAGAAGTTTAGGATTCTAATCGTTATAAATGGAGCATTAGTTGATGGAAAATAATTAGTGGCCAATTAATATAATGTACGTGAAAGTAGAAGGCTAATGAGAAGATAGACAAGAAGGAACTCACATTTACTTAGTGATGATGATACTTTGTGTTGCCCCGACCGGTTGATCGGTCACAAGCTTTATATTTGCAAGACCAGTGGTAGCGAGCAAGATGTTCTACGGTTTCTTGATAGCTCTTTAGGGTTGTAACAAGAGTACTTTGCGACCGATTTTAGTTAGCCGGTATCGGTAGGTCCAGTGATTTATCTATATACTTCAAGCAAACACTAAGGAGGGATACACATTTATCATTTAAACAAATGAACATTCGTGCTAGGGGGTACCAAATATAGTCAATCTTTTCAAGGAGATGACGTAAAGTTTGATATTAAGATGAGGTTGTGAGCGCATTACATTACTCTTCTTGTTCATGTACGTTTTATGTTGACACTGCACTCCCATAAGTACAGAGGAATTTCGGTGTAGGACACTGAAATCTTTTGGTAAACAATACATCCATTTTAGTTTTAACAGCTTAAACCTAGTTTTTGGTTGATATAAGATAGTAATATCTAGTACAGATTTAGTGGTAATATTGAATATTTCTAGTGTTTATGAGAGCTGATTACTAGTAAAGAAAGTGCTCTGGTCAGAGTGCCTTGTTAGCAGTGACTGTTATGATGTTGATGTTACACTTTTATAGAATATCAAGTCAAGAACGTTGTGGTTACGTTTAGTCGGGTGTATATGCTGCTGTCAACAGTGTGCCCAAGGAATCATTTATGGTTTGAAGCCATAATGGACCAGAGTGTGTCTTCCATTTGATTCTGGGAAACTTGAAGTCATCACAAGTAATCATACTGGCGAAGTCGAGGGGGGCAGCATCAACAAATGACTCAGTTATAGTAGCTTCAGTCGAACTAGGAGTGTTTGGAGCTCGATATACACATTTAGAAGCGTGCGCAGCAAGCCATATCTATTCAAGCAATGTGTTGGGGGCAGCATCGCTAAGAATTTCCTCCCCCATATTTTTAGATGCACATATAAGACAACCACCACTCTACTCAGTGATTCCGTCACAGCAGAAGAGATCGTAGGTGTCATTTTGAAGGTATGAGCTTGTGACTTCTTAAGACAACCAAGTTCCCATTATCAAAACAAGTGAATAATTATTTAAAGGTACCACGTTGAACAGTTTGGACATTTTAATCTGTACAGATCGAGCGTTGATCAACGGCGAGTATTTGCCTTGCAGGAGAGAGTGTTGTAAAGCTAGTGGGTTGTTTGTCTTCTATGTGGAGAAGAGGAAGAAGTGGGAGTGCAGTGGTATTGGTCAGTTAACGCACGATTCTCGAAGCTGAACAAATAATCTCTGATAACATTGACATTAAACATGTAACACTTGGAGGCGGTCGGTAGTAGCGAACGTGGGAGGATTAAAAATCGGCATGACATGGCTGAGCTCTGCAGATGTTGTTATTATGTGTAATCTGTTGCTATTCACATTAAACATATTATTCTATCCCTAGTTCAAATTTTAATTGTTATGATACGATGAATCAATGTAGACAATGATGTGACTTCCACGTATGATCTTAAAGATCAGGTTTCCATATCATTACAAATCTACAATTTTGGGACAAGGCCTATGATTGTAGTGGTGCTAATACCGAACTAGACCATAATTCTACAGGGGTGTCTGTGCCATAGTCATATTCGTTGGGTTTATTATCAATACGAATGATGAAAGGTAGTCAGAGTGTAGTTTGGCGAAAGAAGTATGTTTAAGATTGATAACTGGAGGAGAGTGGGTTAAATAAACAAGTAATGTATTTGAGGAATGGTCAGGAGGTTTAGTCAAGAAGGTGTTTCGCTCCCCATTAGGTCGAAGTATATAGGGGATAGTTTCGAAGGAGTGGGGTTATAGCCCTCAGCCGTTGGAAACCCCATAGTGGCACTGTCGAGAGGGAGAGATAAAAAGCATGATGTGACGTGTATGTCGAATTTTGGGGGTCAAAGAGTTTTGTAGAGTAGCTTGGTTGGGGTAGTGTCTAAAATCACCTAGTGGGTGCCAAAGTAGGCCGATGTTGTAGTTTTGTTGTATGTTTCGGACCACTTCAGCCCTGTTATAGGCGGGTAAGGAGGTTGTAGGTGTCATTTTAAAAATAAGGAGTTGGCTGAGATAATTGCCAAGAGAGGTATTGGAGGTCAGCCACACTTTCTGAAAACTACCTTCAACAAGTGACACTTTTGGGTAAGCGGCAAGGAGTACCAGACGATGTTGGCTGAGACGGTTTGTGGTCTGTTCTATTTATGCCTATGAGCGAATTTCGAGGCAGTGAGATGTCATACCCAAGTACATGCTCTACATCTAGTATATCTGTAGAAATGCCAGAGCACGACGTGAAATGATCAATGTATTTACATCATTCGTTTTAGCGATGGATTTAGGTCATTTGCAGGTACTATAGGCCTCAGGGGAGATTACAATATTCCTTGAATGGCCTGCACGTAATTTGAGGGAATTTAAGTATAAGTAAGGTTTATATTAATTGAATGGATCCTGTCAGAATTAACTTAATAGATGATAAATATTCGATGGTAGGATTGAATCCGATATTTTTCGGATGTAATATATGACCGTTAATAATCGACAAAAAGTCTACGGCGTGAAACCTAACAAACTAAGTATACATTGTTGAGCGCCAATATGAAGTGTCAAATTAATAAAGCGCTGTCAAAATATAGCATTTCGCTAATTAGTTTGTTAACTTTGAGCGAAAAAATAATGGTATGAAAAAGAACTACGTGAAAGAATGTTACGATTTTCAAGGCCTGCGCGCGATTTATCCATAATAGATTTGGCATGAAACGTCTTGTAAAATGATATTTTCTCAGCTTTACTCTGTTCAAAGAAACGCATGCAACTGAATATAATTGGGCAGTATTCTGGTAGCGGTCAAACACACCCCATAAAGAATCATTTTGAATTCCGCTATATGAAAACTACAATTGACAAACACAATAAGCTTGAGGGTTCTAAAGACTTGATATGTTGCTTGTTGGGTGAATGAAAGACTTGGATTATTTCACTAAATTGTGTATATCTATACATCTCTTCTTACAAGCTTTATTTTGGCATATAAACTATTGTTATGCGATTCGCCGTCCTTGAGTTATGCACAGTCTATCAATTACAGGTTCCCACATTCACAGTCACTTTTGTCTAGGTCTTGTACAAATGTTATTTTCTATTTTATGGTACGATGTGGTCTATTTGGTTTGTATATAAACCCGGTATGTTTGAAATACATGGTTCATATGCCGGAGGCTGGGATTAATATTATGGACTTAACTTATTTGTTATACAATCAAAGTATTTTTGGTTAGACAGTCATGGTGTGACGAACCAGCTAGCTTGAGGTCACAACTTCCTGTGAAAAGAATAAAGTTTTTAGGAAGATTAAAATGACTCAATGTTTATATGCTTAAAGATGCCACAAGTATTCGGAGTTTGACAACATATGCATCAGGAACACCTTTTACAATCGAAGTGTGCCAACTTAGTCAAATCAGAAGTCAGATGTTCGAAGGTATATTTGCTAGGTTGTCGATATATCATGAAGCGATTAATTAAAACTCGTTAAAAGTTGTAGGAAATATGTAGCACAGCTTATCCACACGTGATCGAGTGGGAATGAGTGGTAGAGAGCCTTTAGCTAACTGAGTTCATTAAAACTAATGCGGTTATTATCAAATGTCAAAGACTTATAGAACTATATTTTTGGGGTTTATTTGCCGTTACATGCTGTTTGATTTACTAAGTTCTGCCCGGAAGCTAGAACCGATAATGTAAGTAACGGTATACGTTATCTTTTAAGCCTAGTAAAGAGTCTCATTTAAAGAGAATATGAAATATGATACCCATATATTTCTTTTTAACACACCTGCCATTCAATCAACAATGTATGTGTAATATCGAGCATTTCGCCGATCATTTAGTGCATGGATCATATATACAAGAGCATAACTTACACCAAGGATGTTAATTAAAGTTTTAAATACCAATATATCTAGTTTTTTCATCCCACAAGATAAGTTGCTTAACAGTTGCATGTTCATAGATATTTGTAGATGGCTTTAGATAACTGTAATGAAATCCTAAGTTCAAAGCATGTTTCTATATGCGCTAGGAACACATCAAATGTACGAAAAATCACTCGAAAATGCAGAATACATCACTTTTATTGAATATTGAAAAGGAATGATTATCTCTTCAGCGCTCTAATTGTAAAGACTAGGTCATTTGCCCACCGCTGGTTATTCTCTCAATTTCAAATCTACTATTCATCACCCATGTCTTTTCATAAGTTGTGGAGGAAAGCACAAGACAATCCGACTGAATTTTCAGTTTGGATCAGCCTTTTGGATCTCGTTGAAAAACAGGTAATACATATATGTCACCGAATATCTTTAGCAAAATATTGAGTATGCTAGACAAGCCTTTGATGCTTTTTTCAAACGTTTCCCATATTGCTATGGTTATTGGAAAAAGTTCGCTGACATGGAACGCCATAAAGGAAATAAGGAAAAGTGTTTACAAGTAAGAAACATTTGATCACCTACTTAATTTGACTAAATACGTTTTCCACTGTGTCCGTATTGTTGTTTGTAATTAAGATACTGCACGAAAATCGGAAGACTGAATACTTTTCAAGTACTTTCGATCAAACGTGTATCACGGCAGCTGTACAATCTGTAGCGCGTTTCGTATAATCGCGTACTTTAGGATTATTGTAATGACAGAATCGCAAGCAAACAGCAGCAGTGACACTTTTGGTTAATGAACCTTACTAGAAAACAGGCTTTCAGTGGATATGCCCAAGTTTTGAACACCGCACATCTTACCTTAGGTGGGGCTTCAGGGTATTAGTTCAAGTACTTGGTGAATGAGTTGATTATGGTTGCGAAATTCTATTTTATTTCAGTAAAACCAGAAATAATAAGTTTTAGCTATTTACGTATATTTCTTGCTGGTAAATACTGCTGGCAATTTGTAAAGGGAAAATTCACCCAAATAGTCAGAATGTAATTTATCAATTACAGATCTCAAATTACCGTATGACAATAAGGGATTGAGGTGGTCTAGGTATTGGTCTTGATAGATGCACTAGGGAAATGACGTTTCGAAGGTGTATACACTACATTTAAATGGTTTTTCATATCAATTAATCGCTGGGTCAAAGCGTTACATTGTTCTTCCGACTCTTGCATCACTGATAACCTGTGCCATTAAAATCCTTTCTCTTATTAGTTTTCAGTTATCTTATGTGAACACTGGACGTAATCAAAAATAAGGTGGTTCAGATAAGTCCCCTGATTCGCTTTGGGTCATAATCACTTGCGTTTGTTTGCTAAAGGTGGTCTTCACGTTTCACAAAAGGGTTGTACTGGTAGTTAGTTTCATCTCTTCATTTCTTGATGTGTCCAAAAATCTTTAGTTGTTACCTCATGTTGATGGTGAGAAAATCTTGGACTAGTTGGTTTATCTTCGAACCAGCATTATTGTTGCAACAGACATAATCTAGATGAAGATTTGGCTTGCGATACATTATTTGGTAAATATGAGGCCGGTGTATCCATTTCTGATATCATCTACCACAACCACTTGCCACCTCCAACTAGGAAGAAGCACGTCGTACACTTCACCTTGAAAAACTAATCATTACTTAGTAATTTAACTCATTATCAGGTACATGTTTGTGTACTTGGTTTGACCCTCACTTAGTACTACCGGTTACCCAAACCAAAGTAAGTGGGATGTAGCTTGAAGTTGCGACTGCAAGTTGAAGGGCTTCACAAACGCCACTAACTAAAAATCAAAAAGGAGAAAAGCATTTACAAACTTTATGATGCAAGAAAATTCAGAATATTATTAAGAAAAATTAGCAGAGTACCTGAAATGACAAAAATTCAAGTGACAAATTTTATTAAACAATAAACTTTCACCGAGACTATTCGTGGTAAGATTTATGGGTAAATATACTACAAACAATAATAAGAGCCAATATACTTTTGAACGATTACAACCACTCCCGTTTTTAGTTTGCACAATTAAAAATGTAGTAAACCGTAATGTGTATAGTTAATGCTAGTCGCAACGCCGGGGTATCTTATTTACTAGTTAATGATTCTCACTTCATAATTTGCAACGTGAATATGAAATTATCTGAGTTACTTTCATGTTTTCCCACATATATTAATGCCTGATATTTTTTAGTGTTCATTAAAATCAGGACACGTCAGTTATGTGTATTGATGCGTTTGCGAGTTTAACTGGGATTTAAACCCTCGTCACCACTTATTCCAACTCGTGACACCAGCTTGATAGTTTTTTCAGTAAAGACTTTTATATTTAATAAATATAAACTAGGGTGTCATAAGCAGTCTTTACACTTATGTAGGAAACTTATGTACTTTTCAACCCTTCTTAAGATGCAGTTTACTTACGCCTGTTACACCTCGTAGAGAAGCATAGGCCGCCCACCAGCATTCTCCATCCAACTCTGTCCTGAGCAATCCTTTCCAGTTGTTATTCATTCTTTTCATGTCTGCTTCCGATTCCTGACGCAATGTGTTCTTTGGTCTTCTTCTTTTCCGTTTTCCTTCAGGATTCCAAGTTATTGCTTGCTTCGTGATGCAGTTTGACTATTTCCTCAATATATGTCCTATCCACTTCCATTGTCTCTTCTTAATTTCCTTCTCAACTGGAAGTTGTTTTGTTCTCTCACACAGTAGGCTGTTGCTGATGATATCCGGCCAACGGATATTGAGTATCTTAAGTAGAAAATTATTTATGAATACTTGTACTTTTTGATGATGGTTGTAGTAGTTGTCCAAGTTTCAGCTCCGTACAGTAGAACTGTCTTGATGTTCGTGTTGAAGATGGTGACTTTGATATTGGTTGACAGTTGTTTTGAGTTCGATGTGTTCTTCAGTTGTAGGAATGCAACCCTTACTTTGCCAATCCCTGACTTTACTTCTACATCAGATCCTCCTTGTTCATCGATGATGCTGTCCAGATACCTGAAAGTTTCTGTCTTTTCCAGAGTTTCTCCAACAAGTGTGATTGGTCTAGTGTTCTCTGTGTTGTATTCGAGGACGTTGCTTTCATGCGATTAGTTCCCTTTATGAATTTAAATAAAGCCAGAACAAACATTGATGCACAATAGTATGAATCCACTATATTTCGTGGTTTCTCAGCTGCTTACAGCCAGTCAGTCAGTTACAACGTTGGACCAGGCACACACATTCATCGGTCCAAGTTGCCACACCTCATTAGCACAGCGAGACGAACACCGGGTTCATAGAAGCAGTTAATTCAATGATGCAATATATAAGGGAAAGATTTTATGTAAGGATATAGTACAGAAAGAAAGAATTAGTTCGTAGGAAAAAAGATATGAAATAATTTTAATCTGATAGTTTAAGGGAAGAAAGAAAGTGTATAAACCTATGCCATTGTGATCGTTTCTAAGCCATGTCACACAGAGTCTCCAATCATGGGTTACGATAGTCACGCGGACCCCAACCAAGTAATCTGCATCTACTAATATGGCTAAGAATCGAAATTAGTGACTTCAAGTACTGATGTCACATTTTGGTTTGGCCGCCCCTAATTTTCTTCCAACCATCTCTAACACCCGTTAGCATTGCACGTCGTGGTAATCGGTGTTCAGGCATACGTAACACGTGGCCCAACCATCTCAGTCGATGAAGATTCACAACCTCATCAACTGATTTACCACCATTTCCTAATACTCTGCATCTAACCTCACTATTACTTACCCTCTGATCCCAGTAGATGCGAGCAATATTTCTAAGACATCTGTGACCAAATACTAGTAACTTACGAGTATCTTCTACTTCTAATGGCCACGTTTCGCAACCGCAAAGTAAAACAGAACAAACTGCCGCGCAGTATTCTCGTCCCTTAATTGACAGACAGATATCTCTCCTTCACCATAGGTCACGTAAGTTGGTAAAAGCCGAACGAGCTTTTCGAATCCGTGCTGAGATTTCATCAGACACCAACCCATTAAGGCTGATCAGACTTCCAAGATAAGTGAAGTAGTCAACGCGTTCGACTACTTCACTCCCTATCCTTAGTTCAGGTGTTGACACAGATCAGTCCTAAAGCAACAACCAAATATGTATTAGAATTTTACATTGAGGTAAGAAATAGTGTGGAAAAATTGACATAAGTGAATGTAAAGAGTTACTTTTTCCACTATCATTGATAGGTCTTACACGTATTTCGGCTTGTCGGCTCTAATTCTCCTCTTCACTTGCTTGCTTGCATACGCCCGTTACCCCATGTTGAGGAGCATAGGCCGCACACAGTTGCTTGTTTGCTGCTGTGTATTTGGTCTATACCTTTCTTTTCTCTGCTCTTATTCGTTTGTAGTTAGTTGCTGTCTTCTTGTTCTTACCTGCTTGAATCCTGCCCAGGATTTCAATAGAGATCCATTCCTTACGAAGGTGCTTCTTGCAACCCTGCTGACTCGTTGATGTTAGTGTTTATTTGATCCATTTCCAATTTTCCTCCATAATAGTTTCTTCTTTCGATAGATCTTGTAAGGCTCGGAACCTGTTGCTGAGAGCTATCATGGATCGGTTGCGTCTGTCAGTATCTCGAAGGAGGGCTGTATTGAACCTTTATAATGCTGTTTATCCAGTTGTCCATTGTTTCTCTAGCTTCAGTCTCATGTTGGTGAACATCAGATAGATGGTTGTCTGAATATATGTCAGCTCCTCTCCTGGTTCTCACGTATTCCATTGACCTTCTGAACATCTCAGTGATGCAAATATCATCCTTCTGATTATGTGTAGTGTAATTCGGTGAGATCTATGTAGTTTGTGTATGTGCTTATGGGCGAATATTGTGCAGCCAATAACCATTCTGTTGGATGCACACAAATTTGCGAATCCCTCACCATTCTTGTTCCCTTCTTCTAGTCAGTCCACGTCGTCCCATGAGATCTTCATACCCGGTGTTGTCCACCCTGGCTTTGGCGTTCAGATCTCTCATCAGGATGATCAGGTCCCTTCTTGGGTATTTCTCCACGACCGACTGAAGCCTCTCGTAAAACCGATCTCTATCTTCTTCACTACTATCATTGGTAGATGGATGACACTGGATAACATTCATTGTGTTTATCTCCTTCTTTGCTTTTAAGGATGCTTTGATGAATCAGAATCCATGAAATTCCCATCCTATAAGATCTTCACGTGCTTCTTTGGACAGCATTATTGCAACTTTCTGCGTGTGCGGAGCATTTTCTTCTTCGTGGGCAGTGTAGAGCAGTATCTCTCTCGAAGCTAATGTTTTCTGTCCAGCGTGTATCCAATGGGTTTCACTGATTTAGAGCACCTCTAGGTTATATCTTCTCATTTTCATTGCTATTTGACTAGTTCTCCTAGTCTCTCACATTGTTTGGACAATCCATGTACCTATATCAATTGTTGCTCTGGTTGTTAGAATGGTCGTCGACCTCGTGACTTCTGAAGAATCTCGGCTTTCACCGTGAGGCGTCATAATTCTCGTGAATGAAGGTTTTTTTTTTAACTCGGAGGACAGGCTTTAAATGGTTTAACTTTTTTTGCGCTTTTCAAAGCGCAAGAAAACAATATCTTCAGTTACTTGGTAGTTAGCTTCGGCTCTCTTAACTACATTTTAGTGATGTGTAGTTTGTAATTATTACTGAAGACAATAGCTTGTTGTAATCTTTATATTGTTTTTTAGAAGTAGTCAGACCTCTGAGAGCACATTTTCCTTGTTTCATTGCTTTTAAGAGTCATTAATGCTATTTTAAATGGATCGGTTTGTATTTTTGGTCAGGTTTACGAAATGGGAGTTAAGACCATACCTTTGAGTGTTGACCTCTGGACGGCCTATTTGGACGCTGCCACTGAATACTACCATACGCATGATGACTATGAAACTAAAATGCGCAGGTCAGTGGTTTATTCTTTTTCTGTTGTATGCACATTTGTTATAGTGCTTTTCGTTGTAGCTTTTAGTTCAGTGTACGCAAACCCTTTTTTAATCAATATGATTCTTATGTATTTCAGTCTCTATGAATCTGCAGTGGATTCTGCTGGGCTTGAATTTCGTTCTGATGCCTTGTGGGAGCACTATATCAGCTGGGAAAGTGGACACAATCGACTAGTTAATGCTGCGAATATATATGCTCGTTTATTATCAATCCCAACTCAACTTTACTTTCAAAATTGGGACAGGTTGGTTTAGTTTATCATAACGGTTGTTGCCTGAATTTCACTTCATTACATTCATGTTACTGTCCTAGTTATTTTGCCTATGCAAGATCACATTCTGTCTTAAAAGTCCTTGGAAAACTATGTGCAACCGTTCATGAGTTCGGGTTGCTATATTCCTCCAAGCAAAATTCGCATAAGATTTTTAATATTCGATAACAGAAAATGCCTAGAAAAAGAAAAATAGATTCAAACAATGAAGTGCTCAACATTTAGAGCGATATTGAGAGTGACAATAATGACTTGATCTTAGTTGTGCTACACAAAGTGTCTGACGCCGATTTTAACAATAGCTTGGATTATGCTTTGAACGCTTATAATTTAATTACCCTACCATTAGAACGTAACCAGCTTTATGGTTTTCAGTAGGTAAAATGAAAAACGTCCTGTCAACCAAGTTTTCTGTGTGGCCACTAAATAAAGTTATTCAAATCGCGATACACAAGGTTGTGGGACAAGTGATCACGTATTCCGCATTGATGATGAGTGCCATGGTACATTCATTTTAAGTTCCATGCTAACTTACTGTAACCATCCAGTACCAAAATCACATTTCTCAATTTGGTGATTCATACCACTTTTTTATCTGATCTATATCCATTCTCACTATCTATCAATCTCAGAAGGATGTGGGGACTTGCTATTTATTAAGTTGTTCTTTGTCTGATTCTGATACCTAAGCTTCCTACGCACGATTTGGACCGGCTGCATACGTGAGAAGGAAGCTTTTATTGGGTAACTGAGTTAGGAATGAATACTAAGTCATATATATATATATATATATATATATATATATATATATATATATATATATATATATATATATAATCTTCCCCTTAGAAAATTAAGTCTTCAGTAGTGTATGCAAACCATTTCTTGGCTAATCTTGTGCACTTGTCATTTGACTGATTTCTGATTGGCTCAAAGCATCACCTTTCCCTCCTCGAAATAAGCTTGACTTCTCGGACTCAGGTGTAGGAGTTGAGGTTGAGAAATATTAATTTGTGTTACGTATGTCTAAACCACTTATCAATCCAGGCCTACAAGTTTATTAACTGATTTATCTCGTCTAAATAACACCCCATCTATTCCCAATATTACTCGCTTGTTAGCTAGACGTTTTTCAAAAAAAAATATTTGAAGGAATTGGCGTTCAAAGCCTTTAGATATTTACACTTTCTCCACTTTTAATAGTGATATCTTACGAAGAAAAAGTTAGACAGCTTCCTGTCAACGACACAGTCAATCCTTGACTGATATTTGAGTATCTTTCTGAAACCACAAGTACCATAAGTTTATATATGGCAAACAGTCATTTTATGTCAACCGCTAAATCCGTCAAGTTTATTGTTAGCTGGTCAAAGTACTTATGTTCCTCAGACTCGGTATAGACCACTGTTTAACACCAACTACTAGGTTAAAGAATTCAAACATTGCTTTCAAGTTGCGATTTTTCATCGTCTGTACTTAGTAGGTTTATTTTGTTTGTGTTCTATGGTGGTCAGGAAAGACTGGTTCATAAAATATAGAGAGCAGAAATTACCCACGTGAAATCTTAAATTCCGGTACGGATTTTGTCCTTACATTTTAAAAGGCACTTTTTGAGTTACGTTGGCAATCATTTTTATTGTTGTTGTTTTCAATATCAGTTTCAATAAATTAGTAGAGGAAAATCGTCCTGAGGATATACTGTCTAAAAATGAGTTTGCAAGTATGGTGTCACAAATTTCAGCGGCTACTGGCAAGCCTGTCTCGCTTGAACAATCAACAGGAGACATTAGTGATGAGTTGGAACCACCAATTTTAGGATCTACAAAGCCAGTGATCGAAGTATGAAATTTATTGACAATTCTTTAATTGTATTTTTTCTCAAATTTATTTTAATACTAAGTTGTATGAAATACGGAAGTTTGTTTGGGTTGTTTTATTCTGCTACAACCGATAGTGGTACATTAGGTGTGAAGCCACTTTTTTGGGTGGATAATGGTTCGTTTTTAGAATTAATGTATATTCCCGGAGATTTTCTTAGTAATGGGATTCAGGAGTTCGTTTCTTTCATGGTTTACATTTTTGTTCCGGATATGATATAATGTTACGCTTTCATATGAATCTGGTGAATAGTAATTCTTACTTGTAGGTTGTTAATTCATTATTCGCTTCTGGGACATTCCACATAGGTCCATGATTTCATAAAACCATTTGAAATGTCGTAACCAGCCCATTATTTCAGCTTGCGGATGATATATTTTCATATTCTAATTAGAAGTTAGTTCCGAGTGTTTAGATTACTGTATCATTTGGAAATTCAACTCATTAATTAATACATCTACGTATCTATCTGTTTGTGAATTTGAATTTGAATAAGTTGTTAATTGCCGGATTAATTGTGAAGCTTTTAGTGATATTAGCAGATCCTAGCTTCTAGAGGAATCACTGATTGGATGGTGATACCGCCATGGTGTTGTTTCCAATGTCTATTATACTTTGCCGCCTAATTTATCAAGAGTAGGTTGCTAGTTGATTCAACACTGCAGTAGTTGCAATTAGTTGCCTATTGAGACTAAGTATAACGCCATATTTACAGTATTTGGGGTTGTATTAACACTTTTGGAGCATAGGTTGCCAACCAGAAATCTCTAATCAACGCTCTTATAGGTACTCTTTCTAGTTGTTATCAGGTGGTATTCGTGACCTTGATATCAGCCTCTAATTCTTTTCCTCGAGGATTCGAGTTTAGGGCTTGTCTTGCGCTGCAGTTTGGTGGTTTCTGCAATGCATCATATCCATTCTCAACGTGTTTTCTTAATTTTCTCCTCAGCTAGCAGTCTCCATCAGAGTAGGTTATTACTGGTCTCTGACCAATGAATGTGGAGTATCTTGTGTAGATAGTCGTTTTTTAACGGGGTTCCTTCTTAACAGGTGTGGTTACCAACCCTACACCCAACACTCCTCGTTTACCCGGGGTAGGGACTAACACTAACCGTAGACGGGATTCATATGGATATACTAGCAACTTAGTTCGTGTTTATTTCATTCCGAACTGCAATCAGTTACTATTGATATACTTCGGCTGGTGTAGCTCAATTGTTCGATCTCTCCACTTAGCTGCTCCACTTATTTTATTTTGTCTAACCCGGATAGTATATCTAGTTCTCATATATTAATTTTGATTCAACCCTGTGTACATAAGTATTTACTTAGTTACTAGGCTTTATTTATTGCTAGTTAATACTGTCATTTGTAGGATCAAAACTGTGTACACGAGTCATATACTGCATAGTTACTATATGTATTTTCATCACCGTTTCCCTTATATAGTAGTATGACGCAAACACTAGCTAATTGGTATTAAGGGGATATTAATAATGAGTAGCTAATACTATTTACTTGTTGGGTAAATTGTTATCTGTTTTTTTAATTCAAAGAATTAGAAATGGTATTAGTTTGTACGCGAAACCACGAATGCGCTTGAAATGAATGGACCCCTGAAGTGAATAGATAATTCCTTTTGTATTTTACTACTTCTGTAGGCTTGTTCTTATATAGTATAGAACATTTTTATATTAGTTTGCTGCTTATATTTGTATAGAAGTGTGTATTCTTGTCTTCATTATTGTCAACCCCAAAGAAACACATAATTTACCTATAAATTTCGTATACCATTTAAGTTTTAATTTTTTCATTAGATTACACTCAATCGCAAAGGGTACAATTTCATCCGTTTGTCAAACTACTAAGTTTATGTTTCATTATAAAAATTGAAATGCTTAATATTTGTGCTGAGTAGTATAACATTTTTCCTGAAATTTATATTTACATATTCGCCAAACCACTATTTTCCTAGATAACAGATTCTGTCAGGGCATCTGTGCGACAAATGATAATTGATTCGCGTGAACAAATTTATCGGGCAACTTATATGCAGATTATGCGGCGGTGGTATTTTGAAGAAAAGGTATGTCATATATTCGTTATTTCTGACTTATTACAAATTTTTAAGTATTCTGATTGTTGCTATCATTACCAAGGTTTGATTTAATAGTTTTGAATAAATTGAGCATTGGGTAAATTGTTATAAATAAATAAATCAGTAAAAAAATGAGATTTTCTGACGTTTTGTAACTCATTGTAAGCCATTTCTTCAGAGCATAAATAACCAAAACAAAGATTTTGATTTTGAGTGTGTTGAGTTAATTTTATGTCTTTATATGTCGTTGTGTATTATTTAGATCCGACGTCCATATTTCCATGTGAAACCTCTTGAAGAAGTGCAACTAAATAACTGGGCTGAATATTTAAGTTTTGAAGAAGCAGAAGCTGGAACTGTAATTTCACATATAAGAGAACAAATAAAAGTGACTAATCAGTTATCTGATGATAAATTAGAAGAAGCTGTTCTTGAATATCCTGAAGTAAAACTTGCTAAACGTCGTGTTCGTGTTCTTTATGAGCGTTGTCTTGTTGCTTGTGCTCTATATGAACACTTTTGGATACGTTATGCAAAATATTTAGAGGTATTATTTTATTTTAGAACTTTTAAAATTTACATATATTTTATTGTTTTAAAATATTGTTCAGTTACATTTACGGTTTATTTTTTCTATTGTATTTTACAATCATTTGTTCTATGATTTAGTTACATAGTCTTATTTTTTTTACATTATTGATGATACTTTCTTTTCGAAGCATTCAATCCTGTTAAGGTTGTCCAGTTTTTCCTCGTTTAGTTTCTCTGTTGATTTTACTCAGATTTTGATTTAAAAGTGATGCACAGAGTTAACAGGAAAAGAACTTGTTTGACTGTGCCTAGAAGCAATACGGGTTTGAATCCCATAATATTTCAAGTTTATGGATGCACATATACACATCCGTATCCAGAGGTTCTATTGAAATATAACATCAAGCTTATTTAGATGATGTTATGCTTTTCGACTAATAATTTTTAATAAATCTAGTGAACTAAATCATAATCTAGACTATTGTCTTGTAACCAATTTACGTACATTAAGATTTTTTCGTGCAGTGTTAAGCAGTAAATTTCACACACACATTTCCCTTTATCATTTTGAAAAGAGCAGTAAATCATGGAAAATTCTGTGGAGGGGAGTGACATTGTGTACGAGTTGCATAACTTATGACGTTGCATTTGAAATTGTGGATAATGATTGAACGCATTTGTTTTTATTTTAGTATACTGAAGGAGATATATCTGCTGCACGTGAAGTATGGCGACGTGCTTGTATCACTCATTTACCGTACAAGCCAACAATTCATTGGCATTGGGGTTGTTTCGAGGATAGATATCCTGCATGTTTAGATAATCCTCAAAAATTCGAAGTCCTTACTTGTCTCGATATTTTGACAGACTTAGAGAAACGCTTAACGGATAGTGCTCTTGTATGTTGTAGACGAGCAGATGCTTTAAGAAGAGCAGGGAAACCAGTAAGTTTTAGAACTGAACATGTTATGTTTCTCAGTCTTATTTATGAAGTATAGAAATTCTTTTTATTTGTTTTTATGTATTTTATATTTATATTTATGCATTGTAACAATGTTAACAGAAACCCTTTTATTCTGTAAAATCGTTTTATAATGATGCGATAGAGAACAATAATCTGAGATACATTTCCTACAGCCAATATTGTAGTGCATTTGATATATTATCTGTACTTCTTTTTGTCCAAAACATACTTGATGTATTTGAATGTAACTGACAGTTAATTATTCTCTAGTAGCAAGCCAGTAGGTCAGTTATAAGGAAAATTGAACTCAACACACCAAAATGAAATTATCGAGAAAAAATGTTAATATAGAAGGAGTAATAACAATATCATTTGTAATGGAAAAAGATTAAGTAGAGACATGATCTGAGAAAAAGAGAATGAAGTTGTGAGACAGAAAAGTGTAGAATAATATAAAATAGATGAGATCATCTTACACCTATTACCCCTCGTGGAGAAGCATAGGCCGCCCACCAGCATTCTCCATCCAACTCTGTCCTGAGCAATCCTTTCCAGTTGTTATTCATTCTTTTCATGTCTGCTTCCGATTCCTGACGCAATGTGTTCTTTGGTCTTCTTCTTTTCCGTTTTCCTTCAGGATTCCAAGTTATTGCTTGCTTCGTGATGCAGTTTGACTATTTCCTCAATATATGTCCTATCCACTTCCATTGTCTCTTCTTAATTTCCTTCTCAACTGGAAGTTGTTTTGTTCTCTCACACAGTAGGCTGTTGCTGATGATATCCGGCCAACGGATATTGAGTATCTTAAGTAGAAAATTATTTATGAATACTTGTACTTTTTGATGATGGTTGTAGTAGTTGTCCAAGTTTCAGCTCCGTACAGTAGAACTGTCTTGATGTTCGTGTTGAAGATGGTGACTTTGATATTGGTTGACAGTTGTTTTGAGTTCGATGTGTTCTTCAGTTGTAGGAATGCAACCCTTGGTTTGCCAATCCTCGCCATATGAGATCTAAGGGAAGAGAAATATTGAATACATCTACGCCATTTCGACCGATTCTGAGTCGCCTGTCAGAGCCTTCAAACATTGGTTATAATAATTGTACGACCCTAGCCACGTAGCTTACGTGTACTAACATGACTATTAGCAAGCAATCATAAGGTGACATCTGAATAATCAGTCTGTCTTTAATGTGGGCACACAGTGGTAATAGGTATAGAAGAATTTCATCTAATCATAAAAATTGTTGGGTTCAGATATTAATACGGTCATTGTTTATTTTGTCATTGTTTAAATATTTTTAACTAGTGGTACATGCACAATTATTGATTATTATTTGGTCTACCCTTATAAAGCTGAATTGTTTTTTCTAAACATCCACAGTTTATGGCGATCACTTCGTATGATGTAGTATTAATATTTTTCGTCGTTCGAGATAGTCACTGGGATGGAGGTATTACATATAAGAGCGACTCTCGAATTTTGCTTACTGTGGTTATCAAATGTGCAGGTCGTTACATGAGTTTGCTTTGTATGGTTTTTTACGATAGGGCTTATGAACTCACTGGTGCCCAAGTTACATTCGATCATTAGCTAAGTGCTCTCTGGTTTTCATTGATTTTAATAACTATTTGAGTTTTGACTGATTTCGGAATTGCAGCTTTTCGGCACAGATCCTTTGATCATGCTATTCAAGTTTTAAATCCCCAGTGGTTTAGTCATGTTTGTTGAATTGTACTTACATCCACACTCAGAATGAGTGTTTTTCAGGAAATAAGTGGCATAGATATTGCACACTATGTTTCTGTTATGTTATCATTCTTATTTAATAATTTTGAAATAAACATACTTTTGTTATTGCTATATTCGTTTCCAGCTGTTCGATATTATCGCTTGTTTGCGCAACGGTATCAATCGGCTTCGTTATCTAGTTCAGGAGCAAAATAAAGTAGCACAATGCGTTTCTGGAGCTACTGCTTCTCGCACTGTAGCACAAGCTATTGCTACTGCAGCACAAGCTCGTTCAGGAGCGGGTGTTCTTGCTGGTCGTCTTGCTCGATTGTTTCATCGCAACGAATCACTAGCCCCAGACGGAATACCTGTATGGATGTTGTTGCTCAGTACGAAATATGAAGAGGAAGAGGATGAATCGATGATAATTGACCTACCTAAAATCGAAGAAACTAATCTCAAAGAAAAAATTGTGGGAGCAGAAAGTAATGATAACCTCACTGAGAAATCAGATGAAGCTTCCAAATCTCCTGGGGCTACGAAAGTCGATGAAGAAAATATTACAGATGAAGCAAAAGAAATCAATACTGTAACTAGCGACCGTGAATCTGATTCGGATATTGAAGCTGCCTCGTCTGATAACGATGTGACAATGGATGAAGAAACTGATGAGGAAAGCTCCGAGAAGCCATCAATGGATGCAACGACGACATCCAACAAAGATGAGCACACAAATGAGGATGCTTTAGATGAATCTGGCTCTCCTCCCATTCTAGTTGTTCCTTGTTCACAAAAAAAGAAAAAACATCATAAGCGTAGGCACAGGGAAAGCAAAAAGTCGAGGCGAAAACATAGTTCTAGCAAAAAACCGAAACTGGAAGATGAGAGTTCTGAAAAAGAGGATAAAGATGAAGAAAATGCTGAGGACGTATCAGGGGATGAATCAAAACCAGTTCCTGAGGTTGACCAAACAGCTGAAGAAGAGGAACGTATACGTATACTTCTTAACAGACGACACAAAGTAATTGAGATCCACGCCCCTTCCCCATCGGAACTTACGGACGAGGATCGTGTCGTTATTTCTTGCGAAGAGGCAGCTATTAAAGTCCTTAAAGAAGCCATTGATTATGACCCAGTGAGTCTTTTTGTCAATCACCCTGTAGTTTATAACTTTGTCATTTGTCATAACGACTAGAAGCTGTAAACTAGACACATTAGGATTCTTTCATATGGTCTCAGTTAACATCATCAACACCCCATCTACTTAGGTTTAAATAGCTGGGTAGTATCAGTAACTATTGTGTATTGTAATTTGAAAAGGATTATGTGAACATGTGCTTGATTTATTGATTTGCATTTGACTCAGTCGTCTGTTTATTCAACCGGATTTCTGGTTGAAGCATCAATCTACTTACCATAGTTAAGATGAATACATACTACACTTAATCTCCAGTGTATAATTCATGATCTTACCTGTAATTATTGCGTTACATCATTATTTGTATTATAAATCAAGATGATTTAGTTTCCGTTGTTACACAATTCTTGTTTTGTATTTTTATGATAAAAGCGTAACGAGCGGTTGTATGCCCAGTTACTCGATATCATCTATCAACGTAGGCCGGTTGATATTGAAGGATTTATTGAAGCCACTAATCTTGCCACAATTGATTCAGTTTTGCCAGCGCATATCAAATTAGCTTTCTGTCAACGTAAGCTACAATTTTTAGAAGAATTCGATACTGATTTATCTAGGTAAGTTATACTTTTAACGTTTTATGTCTTGTTGATTAACTAAAGACTTCTATTTTGCACCTTAAGAATCGACTTCCATACCACGCCACGGACGTTTAGTTTGGTCTCTTATCTGACTCCGATTAGATCATTTATTGATTGTTATTGAAATATACATTCCATTTACCCTCGTATAGTTTATTGACTTAATCCGCGTTAGTGAACAACAGAATTAAATATCCCAAACACGAGAATGAAGTTTGAATACGTATATTTCATATAATCGTTGATCCAGCCAGACGATCGGAGAAACGAAACGAAAAGAAGAGAGTGAAGCGGAATGGTGCGTAGTGAAGATGGTGAATGAGTAAACTCCATTTAGCCAAGCGTTACTCAATATTTATGGTCAGAACAAAAATAAGCTAGACATGTGATGAGTAGCATAAGCAGTGCACACACGCCCACATAAAAACAGTCAAGGTTGGTAAATGAATAATTAATTAGGTCAACGTGTGACTCAAGAAGAATGAATAAATTGACCTGTCCGGAAGTTAGAATGACCCATGTGGACTCGATATAGAACTAGATACTACAGACTAACTTGATAATTCAAACAAATTAGTGCCAATTTATCTAATTAAAAGCACTAAATAACACTAGTTCATATATTTTTAGATAATCATCAGTAGCATCATGGTGCTTATTGTAAACAAACCCAAAAGTCCAACGCACGCTTTCTGCCCACTAAACATTGTGTACTGTGATGGGTACAATAATAAAAGCGAGTACAATATTCACAACCTGTGGTTTTTGAAGAGCTATTCACATTAACATCATATTTCTGATTCACAGTATGTTATTACAGAATTGACGTATCCAGTTCAGCATTACGTAGTTACATTGTTTTCATTTCGTAATCAAAAAATGAACTAGTCTTTCGGTTATAATTGAATGTTTACTCAGTCTTTTTGAATGTTTGCTTTAAAATATTTCGATTCGTGTTTAAATCTAGGTTAAATGCTACATATGAAGAATACATGAGTCTTTGTGATGCAATCAATACTGGTGTAACCACATCAGCTATTGCTCGTGGAGCTAGCAGACTTATAAGTGGTTACCAGTTGCCAGATCTTTTAAATTTGCCAACAACTTCTCTCAGAGTTAGTTCAGTAATTGGAGCAAATTCCTGTGAAATGGTAGTTTCTGCTGCACCAGTTGGTCGTACACCTTGTTTAAATACTGATCAATCAGCTTTGGAAGCTGCTGCTTCAGTTGGAACACCAGCACCAGACCCATCCACTGCCGCTGGTTATTACACTGCTGGAGGATATGAACCATTGGCTGCCGCTCTTGGTAATACATCTGGGCTTCCACCTCCTGTTCCAACAGGTATACCCGTTATGACACCTTCAGTTGCAATTCTTCCCGGTGTGGTAAGTTCAAAGTATTTTTATTTTCAGTTTACTTTTATTACAATCAATCTCCTATTTCATTACTGATCTTTATTTTGTAAGTTCTTGATATGTTTCATCGCTATTTGTATTGTAATTTTAATTAGTAACATTTATTGTTACTGTTTAATACGTTCCGAATCATCGTTCATGTTCTCTATTGTTTTTTAAAAGTCTTTTTCTTGTAGTCAATTTTTTCAAAAAATTACTTATTTTTGGTATAGACAACTGATTATGTCCTTGTTTCCATTTTAGTCGGATACATCGACTTCAGGTGCGGCTGGTTTGACAGCAGATGCATATGCAACTTATTACTATACTGCAACAACTGGTGCTTCGTCTGTCCTCGCGCCTGTCATTGTTCCAGCGGCAGTAGATGTCAATTTGTCCGCATCATCAGGGGTTACCTCATCGACAGTAACTTCAGTAACCACATCTCTGTCATCAACGATATCCGTTGGACAATAATTTCATAACAATATGCCACATTCGGTGTTTTTTTCTAATGGCTCTTGATGCTTCCCACTTTGTGTTTATTACGTATTTTTACGAAATCATTTTGTTGTGGTTTGCTAAATATATATGTATCTATAAGATGGTTTACATTCGTTGCTCATTGTATGTGTTAATCTTTGTATTGTTTAATGGGAGCTGTAATTGCATTCAACTAATCTCGGGCTTTTTCGGTTAGATGATGTGGTTCGTGGATTTACGATAATCTTTGTGTATTGTTTGATTAGTTTTTATGATATGTTAAAGTATTTCTGGATTATGTTTATTGATAATAGATTTTCTATTTCGTTTAGGTTCAATTTACAACCCCGAACGCCCTTGTACGGTCGAGGGGGGAGAATCCGCTCTCCCTCTCGAAATGGCCACATGTATACAGCTACTAAGAGGGAAGTCCTATTCACTGCCTTCTCGTGGCGGGGGTGTTTACGAAATTAAGAGGATGAAAAGCGAATGTCTGTCGCTTTAACTGGATTAGTGGACATGGAAGGTCTACCTAGGGGAGTTGGAAAACTCTGATTCCAAACTAATGGTGCACATGGGCTCCAGTGTCCTGCGGGATCAAACGGCGTATGAACCAGTCGTTGATCACCGGCTACCATGGGACTGCATCCCCTCACGATGCTCCACTGCCTTGTGGGTCAGAGCTTTAGGTCAAAGGCTCGAGGTGTGGCCCCCTAAGAAAACCCACCTGCTCCGGTCTGGGCACCCGGGCAGTATCACAGACCACACACAAACCAAGTGACCTGGATGGCGCTTATGTATTTAGTGCCCCTTTTTTTCCAGTATTTATGTTCAAATCAAATTTAGGTCTTAAAACATTGTATGTGAACTTTGCCTAACATAATTAAGAAGGATTTTATTATGAATTTCTGTGTCGTAGTATCAGAAAAGTTGACTTTTTACCAAGTGAGCCTCCTTTCATCATCATCAATAACTTACCTCTCCGTTAAGTAATATTAACACTACCTCATCAGAAATCACATTTTAATCCCGCTTCAGAAATGATCTTATCGATCAGAGTTCATGTTAAATTCCTCGTTGTTCACTGAATCTGATTTTCAGATCTTTAGATTTTTCAATTGGGAGTAGAGTTACACGAAGCAAAACCTAGGACTTATAGCTACTCTAGTAAACCTGTTGTTTATTCTATAAGTGTTTAAAATGCAATGGTATTTTTTCTCTAAATTTCGTGTGTAAGGATAATGATCAGCTTGTCGAATAACTCATTTCTGACTTAACATTTTCCGAGAATGGTATTTGTTTTTGGTTGAATCGTAACAGTATATTGGATATTATTGATGATAATAATCTATCAGATTCATCTGATAACTTTCTACTTCTGTGGTCCTGTTCTCGTAATATAAATGAGAGAATCTACAGAACGTTTGCTCATACATGTTACGCTTCGACGTTTAACAAATACAGTTTCGTGACTTGAAATATTAGTGCTTTTGTTTTGTTATATTTTAAAACATTCACATAGCAATAATAACATAACAATAAAAATATAGAGTGACGTTCGGTTGTGCTTTTGATTATTTACCAGGTAAAATACTAAATGTTAAGGTTTTCACTACTTTTTTTCATGGTCAACCCGTAAGAGATAGGTTGGGAGGAATAATAAGTTATATGGTTATCACTTAGTGCAAATATATCTTGGCTAGAATTTTTGTAATTAAGGGATGAAGTAGGTATGATGGCATATATTACGCGACGTCTCGAAAATCCACATCGATCAAATTACGAATAGATTTATGACGATGAACATGTTAAAGTAAATCCTTTTGTTTGCTCGACAGGAGATAGCCTGTCTAATACAGTTCTTCAAGTCGTACAGTAGTGGCGTTTGTTGACATACTTGACAACTATCTACTCAACATAAGTTTCACAAGGATTCTGTTGAGTTGAGACAGTAGAAAAATGAGTGATTTGGTAACATATGAAGTGTAAGCTTTGTTATAAACATCTGAGTATGCATTTGGATCACAGAAATTTGAACGCTTTTATAAACCTATTTGTCCATTCTAACGGTGTAATAAAATCCATGTTCGTACCTGGATTCTGTTTACTTATTTATTTGAACACATAAATATTGGTACAAGAGGGCACCAAATATATATGCACCACACAAAACAATGAGAATTCGAAGAGAAAAAAAAGAACAATTACGAGTAGATTAGTGTAAGGTATTGTAATAATAATAGTAATAATGGGGGGAACAGAAAGGTACAATCAGAAGAAATCTTTCAGTTAAGGAAGACACAACCACTTTTTATGAAGAAAGTAAAAGAAGGTTACAGTAGGAACGCCACTGGCGTCTATTATGAGCCATATCTGGTAACGTCTCTAGCCACTGTGTTGCACCATCTCTCGAACCCCAACCAGGGAATCGTGAAGGACCAACAGAAGCCAGCCCTTAGCAGCTTTCTTTCATATCCCGACACCATGTCATACACTGACGACCTCTCCGCTTTTTCCAACCAGTCCCAGAGTCGGCAAATAATGCACGACGTGGAATTCCCTAAGACGACATTTGGAGAACATGTGCAAGCCACCGAAGTCGGTGTCTCAAGGTGTTGACACCAATTGAATTATCGTCTCTGTGCCCGAACACACGATGCCGAACCTCTCCATTACTGCTGACGTGGTGTTTTCACTGGATGTCAGCAATCCTTCGGAGACAACGATGATCAAACACAGAGAGTCGTCCAACATCCTCAACTCGGAGAGGCCAGGTTTCACAAGCGTAGAGCGAAACCGCTCTCACCGACGCGTTGTAGATCCGACCTTTTACAGCTAGACTAACATCGCGAATTCGCCAAAGGTGGCCCAGATTGGCACAAGCCACTCTGCCTTTCACTATTCGTGCATTGATCTCATCACTCACACCCCCATCAGCACTTATGCAGCTACCCAGATACACGAACTTCTCGACTACGTCTATCTGCTCACCATCTAGTATGAGTACAGGATTGGAATCCTGCCAGTCTTGTAGAAGCACTTTGCACTTCGAAGGTGCAAAGCACATAACATACCTGCGGACACTGATTGCCAACTGATTAAGTGCGGATTGCATGACTTGGGCATTATCACACAGTGAGACAATATCATCCGCATACTCAAGGTCGAGAAGTCTTTCTCCAGGCAACAGATCTACACCACCATTACTTACATCCATCAGAGCTGTTTCCAGAATGTCATCAATGGCAAAGTTGAAGAGGAATGGTGAGATTGGGCAACGCTGCCTAACACCACTGCTCGAATGGAACAATGGAGAGAGGTGGTTGTATGCCCTCACTCTGCCTGAGGTGTTTGTATAAAGGGCTTTTAGGATGTCAATAAACTACTCAGGCACACCCTTCTTCAATAGACAATCCCAGAGAACAGTCCTATGCAGTGAATCGAAGGCAGTCGTGATGTCAAGAAACACTACGATTGTTGGCCTTTGATAAGTATGACGGTGTTCTAATATTTGGCGGAGGGTGAAGATATGACCAAAACATCCTCGACCAGAACGAAACCCAGCCTGCTCCTCGCGTGTCAATCCTTCTCGGGTTTTGAACAATCTATGAAGTATGACGGAAACCAATAGCTTGGACGCAATCGGAAGTAGACTTATCCCCCGATAGTTGTTACAGGAACGACGTATTAAAACTCATCCTTGATTGCATCCGGGCTGCAATCTGTCGGAGCATAGGCGGAGATGACGAAAATACATTGTTTCTCACGCCGATTTCTTCTCACTTTGATGGAACTCTCTAATCCAACAGCACACAACCGACTGTTAATGAGGATCCAATCGATTAGTGCTGTCTGAGCTATAGCGCTTAGTGCGATATCAACGCCAGCAACACCAGACGAAGATGCCGCAGGGTCGCCGGATAAACGCACGTGAAACAAGCTTTTCGAAGCGACAGATGGAGAGCGAATTTGTAGTACTTCACCAGAGTCTTGAATACGGGTCTCGGATAGACAACAAACATCGATATTAAGACTTTCCAAAGACATAGTCAGCCCTATCTGTTTTCCGATCTGCATAAGTGTGCGAACGTTGAAGGCAGACAGTTTGAATGGTGCACGTGGTTTCAGAAAAACGGCATCAGTATTGGTATATTGGCGGTAGCATACAATTTTCAACCGGACAGTGATTCGAGAACGTTTAGATACAGTCGAATTTCCGCCAAAGACGAGCCGCTGTATCAGTATAAAAGAGGGCGAATAATGTGGTAAATAATAATAATAATAATAATAATAATAATAATAATAATAATAATAATAATGTGAATTGTTTGACTGTAAATCAGAGCGAGAATAGAATTTTTAATAAATATCGTCATTTTTCATTTTATTTGTTTGTGGGCTGTGATACTGCCCGGTAGCCCAGACCGAAGCAGGTGGTTATCTCAGGGGCCCCACACCGAGCCTTTGGCCTAAAGGTCTAACCCACAAGGCAGTGGAGCATCGTGAGGAGCTGCAGTCCCATGGTAGCCGGTGACCAACGATTGGTTCATACGCCATTTGTTCCTTTAGGATACTGCATCCTATGTGCACCATTGATTTGGTTTGGGATCCGGTTAGAGCGCCAGACATTCGCTTTTTGTCCTCTCGTTTTCGTAAACACCTCCGCCACGAGAAGGCAGTGAGTAGGACTTCCCTGGCAGAGGCTATATACACGTGGCCGTGTGAGAGCATTTTGAGAGAGAGGGTGTTCCCACCCTTCTCACGGCCATACTAGGGCCGTGAGTGTCTGACTTCCAAGGGTTTTTACAATAAAATGTAACTGTGTCTTTGTTTTTGAATATGACTTAAATTGTGTTATAATTTGTTTGATAGTGGAGTAGACGTTGATGTTTTAAGATAATAAACAAAAAGCTTTAAATTCATTATGTCCTTGTGAAACTATTGCTATAAAAAATATTTAAGCTAAATCTACACATTCTAAAGGACACGTGTCAATTTTAGTTTGTCTTGTCGATTTTGGTTTTAACAATTGGTTACGTGACCAGGAATTTTTCCAAACTCCTAGCAATATTTTCCTCTACGAAGTACCTCACACAGATTAGTGTTTGTCCGTTTTTAGGTCCTGTTA